GAACCCACTAATTTTGGCATATGTGGCTGGCACCTTAGCCTCTGCGCTACAGGGGCTGAGCCTACATTTAACTTTTTAAAAATAGAACTTAGGTTTATTCCTTTGTGAATTCCTTGAGTACATTTTTTTAAGGGTTCTATTTTATCTTTTAAAATCAATGGAACATCATCTTTCTTAGCTCTCTTTTATAAGGTAGCTACTACTGTAGCTTGAATGAGTCCAATATTAAGAACATCAAAGTTATGAGAAATCAAACAGATAGATAAGATTCAATGAATGAACTGGGACAGACAAGAAGAATATATGATCAATAGAAGGAGTAAGAAACAAGGACATAAACTATGTAAGTAAAAAAAAGAACTTTCAATGGAGTCAGGATGTCCAACCTTTTTTCTTTTCTGCCACACAATGGAAAAATAAGAGTTGCCTTGGGGCACACATTAAATACACAAACATTAATGAAAGCTGATGAGCAAAAAAAAAACAAACAAACAAAGGTTCTATCTGACACCACAGATAAACAAAACAGGCCTCAAATAATCTGCACACAGCCTGCAGACACAGGTTGAATGTCCTTATAAGTGGTCAGATTTCTTCCTATATGATCACCTGTTCTCAGTTCATGTGGGAAAGAGTATTTGTTTCCTCTGAATCTTTAAGTAAGTGTGGGATTGAACACTCAGTGATTTCAATTTCATAAATAGGGCACACTATGAATACAGGTATAAAGATTCAAATAGGCAATGTATTAAGAGGTGAATGACCACCATCTCAGCTAGAAGAGTGTTCCTCATAACAGAATAATGAACATCACACTAAAGAGACAGGGTTGAGCCAGGATGTAAAAAGCCAAAGTGAACAATTAGAATTTTCCAGTGTAATGGAAAGCTAACAATATCTGGAAGGGGATGAACAAGATGGCTGGGCACAGTAGCTCAAGTTTGTAATCTCTCTAATCTGAGCACTTTGGGAAGCCAAGGTGGGAGGATCACTTGAGATCAGGAGTTCAAGACCAGTCTAGGCAACACAGTGAGACTCCATCTCTACTTTAAAAAGAAAAAACAAGGGTGGGTACAGTGGTTCATGCCTATAGTCCTAACAATTTGAGAAGCCACGGTGGGAGAATTACTTGAGCCCAGCAGTGTGAGACCAGCTTGAGTAAGAGTGAGACCTTGTCCCTACAAAAAATAGAAAAATTAGATTGGGCACATTGGCTCACACCTATAATCCTAGCACTCTGGGAGGCCAAGATGGGAGAATGGCTTGAGCTCAGACGTTCAAAACCTACCTGAGCAAGAGCCAGATCCTATCTCTACTAAAAAAAGAAAAAATTAGCCATGCTTCATAGTGGGCAGCTATAGTCCCAGCTACCTGGGAGGGTGAGGCAGGAGGATCACTTAAATCTAGGAGTTTGAGATCACTATGAGTTAGACCAGAGGTCCTCAAACTTTTTAAACAAGTGGCCAGTTCACTGTCCCTCAGACCATTGGAGGGCCAGACTGTGGGCCCTGAGACCAGTCGGCTGCTAAGCAGGACAGGCACCAGCAGCAAAACACTTGGAAGGCCAGATTAATGTCCTCAGCTAGCCGCGTGTGGCCCGCAGGCCATAGTTTGAGGACGCCTGAGCTAGACTAATGGCTTGGTACTCTGTCTCAAAAAAAGAAAAGAAGGCTCAGTGCCTATAGCTGAAGCAGCTAAGGTGCCAGCCATATACATCAAAGTTGGCGGGTTCAAATCCAGCCTGGGCCTGCCAAACAACAATGACTACTACAACCAAAAAATAGCTGGTGTTGTGGCGGGTGCCCTTAGTCCCAGCTACTTGGAAGGCTGAGGCAAAAGAATCACTTAAGCCCAGGAGTTGGAGGTCGCTGTAAGCTGTGATGCCACAGCACTCTACCCAGGGTGACAGCTTGAGGCTCTGTCTCAAAAAAGAAAAGAAAAAGAAAAGAAAAGAAAAATTAGCTGAGAGTGGTGGGATGTACCTGTAGTCCCAGCTACTTGGGAGACTGAGGCAAAAGAATAGCTTATACCCTGGAGTTTGATGATATTACTGCACTCTAGCCTGAGCAACAGAGCAAAACTCTATCTCAAAAAAAAAAGAAAAAGTCATGCACATGAATTTTCTCCGGAAAATCAATTAGGTGGCACTAAAGTATGAAGAAAAATGGTTAACGATAAAATATTGGTGCCTATGGTGTCAAAGAACATTTCTTCTTAAAGGCAGTGAGAAGCACCCAGGTGATAAACCTGTAAATTTTCTTTATAATACTTTAAGAAATTCTTTGATAATACTCGTATCTATAGGCTCAGCACTCATACCTCAGTGAGTAGGGCGCCGGCCACATACACCAAAGCTGGTGGGTTTGAGCCCAGCCTGGGCCTGCTCAACAGCAATGACAACAGCAACCAAAAAAATAGCCAGGTGTTGTGGTGGGTGCCTGTAGTCCCAGCTACTAGGGAGGCTGAGGCAGGCAAGAGAATTGCTTGAGAGAGTTTGAGGTTGCTGTGAGCTGTGATGCCATAACACTCTACCAAGGGCAACACAGACTCTGTCTCAAATAAAAAAAAAAAAAATACTGGTATCTGTAAACAATGAAAATTCGCCCTTTACAGAATGATTACAAAATAAAATAACTCAGAATTATTACAAAATGAAATAACTTCTTCATTCTAACCTGGGCTGTCATGTACTCTAATATATCACACAAAAAAGCTCTCATTGAAAATTACTGAATCACATTTCCAGCATTAACCAGTTCCATGTGAATTTAGATAGTATAACAACTTTTTAGGCAATAAAAATTACAGAACTATGTAAAAGAGAGCAGTAAACATGAGAAGAATGGGGAGGAAATCCAGTCTCAAGGATTTTTAGCATTCCATAATATAAAGATCATTTGGGGGCCGGGTATGGTGGCTCACGCCTGTTATCCTAGCACCTGGGTGGCCGAGGTGGGTAGACTGCCTGAGCTCACAGGTTTGAGACTAGTTTGAGCCAGAGACCTCATTTTCAAAAATAGCTGGGTGTTGTCACAGGTAACTATAGTGCCACCTACTTAGAAGGCTGAGGCAAGATGGCTTGAGCCCAAGAGTTTGAGGTTGCTTTGAGCTATGACGCCACTCTACCGAGGGCAACAAAGTGAGACTCTGTCTCAAATAAAACCAAAAAATTGAACCCATCAACTCTCCATGGCCCTTTTCTGATACTTCACACAAAAGTATCAGTATGTTTTAATGAAATATATAGTTAAATATATTTAAATGTCCAGAGAGAAAGAAAAATTTCAAAATTCAACCCCCTCTGGCTATAATTTTATATAGGCCTGATTATGTATGCCTACATGGAACAATTTAAGCTTTCTACTAGTATGACCCCTACATAGGTGCTACAAAGTAGCAATTAACCTGACCCACAAGAATCGTATGCCTTGTTTCTTTTGTTTTTATTGTTGGCTATTGTGTTTTCAATAACTTCTCCACTTTTTGGCTAAGATCAAGTGTATTGTACTTTCGAGGGTACCTTTTTCTTTTCATATGTAAATTGAGTTCAGATAAAGTTTTTCATTTTTCTTATAGACTTGGAAGAAATAAAATATTATAGACTTTAGAAGTTTACCTGCATTTTAGTACCAAGTTTATCCAGATGTTACAAGGAGATTAACTACATGTTTAAGATAAAGAATGATTCCACTGAATGCTCTTCTTCAGGAGTTTTTTTTTTTTTTTGTAGAGCCAGAGTCTCACTTTATCGCCCTTGGTAGAGTTGCTTGGTATACAGCAACCTCCAACTCCTGGACATAGCGAATCTCTTGCCTCAGCCTCCAGAGTAGCTGGGACTACAGGTGCCTGCCACAATGCCTGGCTATTTTTTTGTTGCAGTTTGGCTGGGGCCAGGTTTGAACCTGCCACCCTCGGTATATGGGGCCAGTGCCTTAACCACTGAGCCACAGGTGCTGCCCTTTTATTTATTTATTTATTTGAGACAGAGTCTCACTTTGTTGCCCTCAGTAGAGTCCTGTGGCATCACAACTCACAGCAACTTCAAACTCTTGGGCTTAAGCAATTTTCCAGCCCTCAGCTTCCTGAATAGCTGGAACTATAGGTGCCCACCACAACACTTGGCTATTTTGGGAGGGGGGGGGGTTGTAGTTGTCATTGTTGTTTGTCAGGCCAGATCTGGATTCCAACCCACCAGCTCCAGTGTCTGTGGCCAGCGCCTTAGCTGCTGAGCTATAGCTTCTGAGCCTCTTCAGGAGTTTATGTATAAAAAGATCAAATATGTCTTGGCATTCCTTCTCTTAATTCAATTAACTGTTAAATAAGTAAGCTTTAGACTCCTTCTACAGGTAATAAATAAGTGTATTTCTTGCTCAACCCATAGAAATTATACTAAGCTGTAATTTAAAATTATATGAGAACAGAATTCCTGACACTCTCTAAAAATGTATCGTAGACAGCCAAAACAATTTGTAACTATATTGTCCCCAAAACAATGCAAGTCTCTAATTCAACAGGAAATATATACTTAAGAAATTATCCTCAAACCAAAACTATCTGAGATATCATCTGACTCCAGTAAGAGTAGACCACATCACAAAATCCCAAAACTTCAGATGTTGGCATGAATGTGGACAAAAGGAAACACTTCTGCACTGCTGGTGGGAATGCAAGCTAGTGCATTCCTTTTGGAAGGAAGTTTGGAGAACACTCAGGGATCTAAATGTAGACCTGCCGTTTGATCCTGCAATTCCTCTTCTAGGTGTATATCCAAAGCACCAAAAATCATTTGGCAATAAAGATATTTGGACCAGATTGTTCATGCAGCTCAATTCATAATTGTCAAGTCATGGAAGAAGCCCAAGTGCCCATCGACCTATGAATGGATTAGTAAATTGTGGTATATGTATACCATGGAATATTATGC